GATTTCAATAGTGATTTTTTAGACAAAAAATTTTATATCGAAATAGCGTGAAATATACTTTATATTGTTCAAATTTAAAAAAAAATATAATATACAAAATTTATATTTTCTAAATTATTTTAAACAGTTCTTTGATTATAATTATATCAAATGTATAAGTGATTGATATCTTTTTTTATTATTTACATAATTCTTTATGCTAAAGTATCCTAAATTATGCTAAATTATCATATATCTTATTGACATCTTCTAAGCTCAAAACTCTTTCGCGGATTTGAGAAACAGCTTCCAAATCTGATTCATTTAATTCTATTGTAGTTTGTGGTACATAATCTTCTTCTGCTAAAAGTACATAGTATTCACGATCTTTTAAAAGACATTTTATTTTGTTTAAGAGCTTCGGATCGCATTTAAACTGTAACAAAGAAACATTAGTAAATAAATTGCAATTTTGATAATAAACATATAAATTATAATTTTTTTCGATATGCGTATACAAATATGTATGTTCTTCGCCACATAGTTATAGTAAAAGATTTTATTTATAATTCTTTAGAAAGTAAATGTTTATTGGATACCTGAAAATATTCCATATCATTTTCCATGAATTCCTCTACATCTTCCGCACCAATGTTAATAGCATCCTCCATAGCTTGTTCCAAATTTCCTTTCTTTTTAACTATGATATTGCTTGTATGAATAAACATATTTTTGGCAGAAGTATTTGTGGTTTTTCCTCTACATATATAAAATTAAAAAAATAAATATTAAATGAGAAACATACATTTTGAAATATTTAATTCATGGCTCTTATAATTGTATATAAAAGAATTATATGTTGAATACAGATTATTATACAGGATGAGTCAATTAAAATGTTATTGATTTATATCGGAAACAACGCACTTTAGAGAGAAATGTTTCATACAAAAGGTGTATAAGAGACATAACATAACTAGTATGAATAACTGTAACTAGTTTGATAGTGAAGTTGGGAAGTTGTTTGAAGATCACGTCATCAATTTCTTAAATAGAACCTCATATATAGTATTTCATTGCATATTCTTATAAAAAATCTTAAACTTACTTCGAGAGACTTACTTTCCAAAATACTATAATAAAATATTTTTTTATTAAGTACTTTTAAAGTTATAAGGCATGAAAGGCATTACAGTGCAGCTAGAATTAGCATTACTTAAGATGTCCGACCGACGGCTAAAATCTCTTGAATATTCAAGATCATGATCTAAATAACACTTATCAAGATCAAGGTCATTGGAGGTTCTTTTTATTTTCATTTTTGCACTACAAATTTATTTTACGTAAAAATGAAAATAAGAAGTACAATCTCTTTAATTTTGACAAATATTATCTAAGTTCTGAACAATTTAAGAGATTTTACTCGTTGACACCTTAGGTAGTGCCACCGACGAGATACTATTAAAGATCCTCGGGACAAATTTTTGTGACTATCAAAGAGGCCCAGCGATAATTGAAGAACGATGCCGAATTAATAAAAATTTATGATTATTAACATATAATAAATATTTCAATGATACATTATTAAATTCATGATTTTTTTATTATATAAATGCTGTATAAATAAGTATACATACTTTTAATGATTAATATCTTATATATATCTTAAAAATTACAATTTTTCCTCAGAAGTTATCATCTCTATTGATAATCAAACTCGGATGATATCATTAAAAATCACAATTTAAAAATCGAGTATTATTAAATTTTACATATACAACATATGTACATGTTTACAAAACTAATAAATTATGAAATTAGTACCGTATTACTAATTTATTACTCTTAATCACTTAAATGTTAACAGGCACGCGAATTTCCATAAGCGCCGAGGGTCTTTAATAGTATCTCGATAGTAATGCTAATACCTGTAACTTTCAAGCTTTATAACTCCAAAAATATTCAACGAAAAAATATTTTATAGTGTTTTAGGAAGCTCTCGAGATAAGCTATTAGAATATGCAATGAAATATATAGAGTTTCCATTTAAGAAGTTGACGATTGTCTTTTTACGATCTTCAAACTTTGCAAGATCAAATGACACTATCTTATGTCCCTCTCCAAATCATACAGCTTTTGTATGAAATATTTTTCTCTAAAATGCTTTGTTTCCGAGATATAAATTTGTAACATTTTAACTGACTTATCTTGTAAAATAAAATTTTGTTTTCAAATATCCTAAGATATTAGACCTCTTCTTTTCAGCTAAACTTTTTGCATAGTCCATTTTTCTTCTTTTCTTATATTGAAGCAAAAACAAAAAATGGATGGTGCAAGGAGCTTAGTGAGAAAAAACAGGCTTAATATTTTGTATAACATATTTCAAATACTTATAGATATTTATAGATATACATATTAGAAATATACATATTGTTCATACTTGGTTTTTTTAAGTTTTGAATTAAGCTCAGTTAGGAAAAATTTGGGATTATTCGTTATATAACATACGAGCATGATATAACCATTTGGCCCACGAACTTCTATTACATTTGTTTGAGTCTTGTTCTTTTTCCGTGCCTCCATTCTGTCAAGGAAAGATTTTATTGATGCCACAGGCATGTTTGCTTTTTTAGCTCGTTCAATGACTTGTGATAATTTTAAATTATTACTTGGATTTGTAATGCCTCCTCCCTCTAAAAGAAATTGTTTTTTTTCACAGTTGCATAATGCAATTAAAATTACATAAGCAAAACAAAATTTAATTCAGAGATTTGACCATGTATGCAGAGATATGTATTTTGATGCTCTGAAACTGAATTCGATATTCAAATTACAATTTTTTTTATCATTAAAAAATAGCTTGATTTTTCTATATTTTAACAGTCAATTATGATCTAGTTTTCAATACATCTGAGGTAAATGAGAGAAATAAATAAATTCAATGATAATAAACAAGCTTATAAAGTTAACATGCAAGTTGACAGATTAAATATGCTGAAAAATCAAACTATATTCCATCGATAGGAAAAAATTGTAACAAAAAAAAATTGAAGCGATCTTTCACATTGGATTCAGTTTTACAGCGTCAAAATACACAAAAATACATAAAATAGTTTAATCTCCAGATTAAAAAAATTTGTTGTGTTAACCTGTCTTACTATTCAATATTGCAATAAAATTAAATGCACTTTATAGCAAATACACAGTACGTTACAAAAATATATTCAAATGAAGTTATTAATCACGCAAATAAAATCTGTTTGATATGTTTCGTACACATACATGGGATTTTATTTAAATAAATGATATAACTCATAATAAACACTACATTACCTTGTATTGCAATCGTCATTTGTATTTTCAGATGATTGAACAATACCATCCGTTTGTTATCATTTTCTTCTTTTATATGTTTTATATTCTGCCATTTGCTGTGACCGGCAAATCTTTTGTTGTTTTTAGATAAAAGATAAATATGTCTGTTGCGCAGTAATCCGTTCAACACTTGTGTCATTTTTGGAAAGGATTATGGTGCATCACGTAGCAGACGACAAGATTTTAAGTCCAATGTCCACGATGCTAAAAATCGGATGGACGTATGTAATATTGGTTTCAGTCTATTCGCTTTTTAATTTTTACCAAATTATTATTGATGTTTTCGGTTCGACCGGAATTGTGTGTGATTCGTACATTATGCTTAGTTCAGAGTGGACGCAGCAAGCATCAATCAGTGAAGCAGAAATCAACCAATGATATTTTTTATGTTACTGTAAACGTAACGTCTCGCTGATTAGTTACTGCTTGTCGCTTGCTATGTCCAGTCTGAATTAGACATAAGTTAAAGATGCCTTATTTCCACCTGGTGGTATTCGACGCTCATTTTTAACATCAATATAAGTCTCGTGATCAAAATTAACGCTTGATGTTTTCCAATTTTTATCGTGTGACTTGGATACTAAAAGTAAGCGTCGAACGTCAGCATGAAAAGACACCTTAAACCTTGCAGTGAGTGCTCGCGATACGGCGGCCATGTCGATTTCGCGCCATTTGAAGCTTGAAGTGAGATCGCTCCGTGTCTCTTTCGTGTTTTTCGGAAAAAAGTGAATGGCGTAGAAAAAAAATGAGTGTTCCTATAATAAGAGTTAATATAATGCGGTCGCGACTTTTGATTGATTGCCTAAATCCGCCATACGTAACAGGTTAATTAAGACAAATGCGAATTTTAATTCCCCTCATAGTTAAACGTTACATTTACATCACAATAATCGATCCAAAAAAAATATGATGTCACTGTAGATCAGGCCTGTCTAAGCCGTGATTCAATTCACGCTCATACGCTTAAAAATCATTTCATCCTTGTTTGTCAAATGTTAAAGACGACGAAGACAAACGAGCGTTATCAGCATGAATCAGATCATGTCTTAATTTGAGCTCTAGAGCCAAAACGCAAAGCCATCGATGTGAAAAAATTCAATGTTAATAAGATTTTAGAACTACGAAATGTTGATGAACATGATTAGGCTGCGTTCCACTTAACGCTCACATCGTTCGTGAAATCATTTCATCCTTGTGTATCAAATATTAAACAAGGACAAGGATACTCGCGAGCGTTGCGAGCATTAAATGGAATGTAATCTTATTACGTTTTTCACTGCGGGAACTGGTGCACACTCAGTGCACATTAAAGCTGTTGTATATTAACCTAGTCTGACTGTAAAAATGAGAGATCTTAATTAAAGTACTCAATGTATATTTTATTAAATAGCACAATAAAGTTAAGAATTTCGTGGTTTAATTCGTTTCTATATTTTTATTAAACATACATCTTTATATCGATTTATATATGGCTTTAAAGTACACTGAGTGCACATCAGGGGATCGATTCTGTATCTTGAAATGAGGTGAAAATTATAAGTGAGCGAATTACTGATATTTCGTTGGTCACCTAATAAATTTACATGACATTGCTGTGACATCACATTTATGAGGAAGTGGATATTCGCACGTCACCATGCGTAATCATAATTATTGGATGACGTAACTGTGACGTTTAAGCTATGAGGATAATATTTAAAAGTAAAAAAATAAGACAAGTGTTATACATAATTATTAATGTAAACGAAGACAATGCTATTTTCTTCTTCTAATGCAACTGATATCAATAAATATTTAATTGATTAAATAAAACTGATATTAATAAATATTTAATTGTCTTGTATTTCGTATAGCTTCGTCATACATGCATTTATTAGATTTTATTATATTTAAACAATTTATTATATTTAAACTCTTACAATATAAGATACAATTTGGATACAATAACTCATCTGTCCAAATATGAATCACTAGAATTTGTCGGTTTTTTTCACCTATTCAGATACCTACTCGAGTGTCACTCATAATATCACTCCATTCTTATTGTTTATAGTACATTAGACAAGGATGACATGATACTTGGGCAACACCTGGGTAAGAATTTGAATACGCCTTAGAACGGTTCAAAAAAATCTCTAAAAATTCTTCACTAATATTCTAGACAGCAAAGTGTCGTCTATTTAACGTCATTAATTAGTCATTATGACGAATGTGACATTTAAAATGACGTCTAAATATTGTAAAAATGACGTGGATTTGTCACAGGTACATAATGTCAAAAATCATTTTTTTGTGTTATTGACGGTAGCAAGGAGTCATTTATTTGGCTTCATTAATTAGTTCTTTTGACGAATCTATATGGTTCCTAAGACGAAGTGAAAATTACAAAAATGAATTTTGCTAGGTGTTGAAGTTATAAATATTTTAGTAAATTCGATTTTGTAATTTCCACCTCATTTTAAGACTATAATAAATTGACATCTAAACATCGTAAAAATGACGTGAATTCTTATATTTTTTATCAATCACACAATGTCATAAACTGACATAAAAAATACATTATTATTTTCGTGTTATTAACGGAATAAATTGTATGACGTTATTAATTGATCACTATTAATGTTATTAGTACGTCGACAATTGGCCATTTAGTCAACATCATTAATTGATTAAAAAGACGTCATTATTATATCTTAAATAGGTCACAATAATTTAAAAATGACTAACTATTGACGTCAAAATAACGATAGCTTGTTACTTGGCTACTTTCAACTTTATAGAATAAATATTGAAACTTCATTTTGAAAAATAATAAAATGTAGTATAATTTACAATTATTGAAAGATTCAAAGAAACTTGCACGAACAGGAATCGCTCGATCACTATAGTGACCCGATTTTGTATGGTAAGGGTTTGAAATATTACTATACTATAATATAGTTTTCAGTTAAATCAATCATTATAATATACTTTTCAATCCTCATGACCACAAACTTCCCTATTACATATTATTTTTCATTTTTGACAGAGTATAATTTATATGTATAGTTTATATGCATTATAGATTTTCAATACTGGCAGTAAATTTTAGAGCACAACCATGATTTAATATTTTGATCCCAGACAACATAAAATCTAAAATAACAAAAAACAAATTACATCTGAGCTAATGAGAATTCATGAGAATCAGCGCGAACGGAAGTGCACAATAAAATATTTATAAATAAATTTATTAAGAAGCGTTGTTATCTTCTTTGAAATCTTGCAAAATCTTGAATGTTTCGATTCTCTTTGGAATCTTCATCAGCAATCTTTTTAATCCATACTAGATTTCGCGAACGATCAAGATAGAATCACTCGCAGGTTGCCAAAACTGCAGTATAATCTGTTTAAATTCATATACTTGAGGTATTTATATTCAACCAAGTATTTAATAAAGTAACGAGTAACCCAACACGATCGCCAAATCTCATCATGAAACTTTAGATGATATATTAATATTCATAACTAATCACATTTTATGATACATTTTATGTAGATTTGTTTAAATTCCGTTTTAATTCCGCCTAAGCCATCCGGAGTGACAAATATGGCCAACGAACCGTTTAAATTGACAAAAGTCGGATCGAAATAGAAAATATAAGTCATAATAAATATAAAATATAAAGATAGTATATTCATATTAAATTGCTGATTTTAACATATACAACGTATGTAATATTTAACATATATAATGTCATAGATATAATAAATAGAAGAACAGAAAATTATTGTAATAGTTTAAAATATAATTTAATAGAGTTAAAGCGACAAAAAGAAAATGTAGAATAATCAATATCAGTCAAAATTTAACGCATCGCATTAATATTATGCGTAAAATTACCATATATATATATATAATTTATAATCACTCATTGAGTTACTAACTCAATTAGTAACTGTAAAAATTACAAATATAATTTAATACAAGAATTAATTAACGAAAGAATAGTTACAAATAAATAAATAAATTGGTGAGTCAAAAAGAAAATCTAAACAAATCAAAATTTTTAACGTCGCATTAATATTGTGGATAAAATTATGAAGTAAATTTATTATCCCTCAGTCTTGAAATATAAATTATGTCAAATTATTTAACATGGATAAGCATGATGTAGTCTATCTGTGTCAGATCGTAAGTTAAGTCCATTTTTTTGCACATGTGTATGTATTTTCTCTAAATAGAATCTAAAATCTGAACATAAGATGAACGTTTTTAGAATAATCTTTTTAAATCTGTCTGAAAATATCTTTTAAACGTCTTTAAAGTCCAATTGCACTAATGCTACTTTAAGCAAGCCTTAAAACTTTCTGTCTTTTCTCTTTCGCTTTAAAACGAGATAGAGAGAGTTTTGAGTCTTGCTTAAAGTCAAAGTAACGTTGATGCAACCCGGCCGGAGACATCTGATGTCTCGACTTTTGAACTTTATGTTGTTCCGTATGGCTTAACAAAATTACTTCCAAATTTAGCTACATTTTTAGCTACTTTAGCAAAATTGTTTTTGCGTATAATAATTATAATAACACAGTACTTTATTAAAGTATTATTTTTTGTCAAATTGTCCAAGAATAAAAATTATTCTATATTTTTTCAATATAAATTTCATCAAAAATTATGTTGATTTTGTACCCTTTTTTATGGTTATTGTTATGACAAGCATAAATAAATATAATAAGAAACCGTGTGTTAAGGTTTATTAGAAAGTTTACTTTGAGATAATTACTGAACATAATTAACTGCAGCGCTCTTTTCTTAGACTTTTAGAAAAAAAGAGAAATCAATTTTGTCCCCGCATCAAAGAATTCACCTCCTGAATTTGCTATTTGACACAGCCGTGACAAATAAATAAAACTGCATAGAGTAAAAGTTTATTTACACACCTTTTTCCCTCAGGTTAATCACTGGTGTGGTACGGGAATCAAAGGAAACAGTGCGGCGAACCCCATCCACACAGTTTCAAAGGAACCAGCGGCTACAAAATTAACACGATTAGACTGGCGGTGGACTCGCTCGGGGGTAAGTAAAAAGAATGGCATCGAATGATCGCGAGTCGACTAAATTTAGAAAGTCGAGGGTAAAGGTGTTTAACAAACCCGTAGAGGATCGATATTTAGTCCGCGCAATCTTCATCTTCAGAGGTCATAATGAGCCTTAAAAAATTATCGGTTTTAAGCACGCTGCGATCACAAATAGAGAGTTCGAAAAGAATTCAAAAAGAATTCCATCACATATCATTAATTCTAAGTTTACTTTTAGATGCAAAAAAGAATTCTTTTTCTAAAAAGTTTTGAAAAGAATTCTTTTTGCATCTGAAAATAAACTCAAAATTGATGACATACGACTGAATTATTTTTGAATGTCCTGTGCTATCTGAAATACTAGGTTTATTAAAGATGTAATATCTTTAAGACATCTTATATCTCTAATATTCATCCATAATTATTGATATTTTTCCCTTTGATATTT